TAGGAAAATCGAAAATTAAAAGTGTGTATAAGTTTGGTAAACTTGTACTCGATGAGAAATTTGTTGGAAAATGCTATTCTTATGAAGGAATGGTTAAATTGTGTATTATTGACAAGTCAAATGATAATAAAACTAATTTTGCGTCTATTGTTACTTCATTTTAATTTTGACATGATAGATTAAGTCATATTGGTAAAAGCACTGTGAAACAAATGATGAAATGTGATTTAATTTGATATGATGAAAATAATGAATATAAATGTCAAATAATACTTGGGAGCTTGTTGATTTGCTACTCGAATCCAAATCTGTAGGATGCAAATGGGTGTTTAAGAGAAAGTACAATGTTGATGGCTCTCTTAATATTTTTAAGGCTAAATTAGTAGCTAAAAGATATCGACAAAATGAATGAATATACTATTTTGACACTTACGTATCGGTAACTATAACATTAATTAGGATAATATTTGTATTAGCTTCGATAAATAATTTGCATGTTCATTAAATGGATATCAAGACAACACTCTTGAATAGGATCTTGATGAGGAGGTCTATATGGAACAACATGAAGAGTTTGCTCTACCTGAAAATGAGTATAAGGTGTGCAAGTTAGTGAAATCGTTATACGATTTGAAGCAAGCACCTAAGAAATGGCACGAGAAATTTAACTTAGCAATTATATCATTTGGTTTTAAACACAATAATGTAGATAAATGTTTATACTCTAAAGTTTGTGACAATTATGTGACATTTATTTGCTTGTATGTTGATAACATGTTGATTATAAGTAATCAAATGGATGGTATAGAATAAACACAGAAGTTTCTATCTTCCACATTCAAGAAGAATGATCTTGGATAGGTGGATACAATTTTGGATATCAAATTCACAAAGACTAGTGGGAATTACCCTCTGAGTCAATCACATTATATCGAGAATATGATAAGCAAGTTCAAACATTTGAAGATAAAGGAGTATAGTACCTCGATTGATCCAAGTTCAAAACTTGTAAAGAATTATTGAAGGGCAATTGCTCAATTAGAATACACAAGTGCTATAGGGAGTCTTATTGCACAAGGCCAGACATAGCCTATGCAATAAGTAAACTTACTAGTAATTTGAGCAATGATTATTGGAAGGTCATTGGGAAAGTTCTTGGATACTTAAAAAAAACAAAGAATTTAGGCCTACAATATACTAAATTTTCGAATGTATTGGAAGGATTTACCTGTATTAGTTGGATATCTAGCACAGGTGAAATTAAATCTACTTTAGGTTGGGTGTTTACTCTTGGAAGAGATGCAGTCTCTTGGAAATCAAAGAAATAGACATGTATAACACACTCGACTATGGAATTCAAATTTGTAGGACTATCGAAAATCGGGAAAGAGGCTGAGTGGCCTAAAAATCTCTTTTATGAGATACTTTCAGGATCGAATAACACATCTTCAATACTTATCATGTGTGATAGTCAAGCCACATTAGTAAAGACATACAACGAGTTATACAATAGAAAATCTAGACATATGAGTCTTAGAATGATTATATAAGGAAATTAATCAAGGATGGAATAATTTTCCTAAATTGTGTAAAGTCAATTGAGAATTTAGCAGATCCTTTAACTACATTACTAAATAAAGATTTAGTGGCGTCTACTTCAAATAGGATAGGGTTGAAACTTCTAGATTAATAGGTTTATCAATGACGACAACCCAACTTGTCATTACTTAAAAGGTAATCCACGGGTTCAAAGGGTAATAACAAGTCATTTGATGTGTGGATAGTTTCAGCGTTGTCACAATCTGCCATAACCCTGTCTTAATTAAATAATACTGGTTGTTACTGAAGTGAGGATTGAGCTTTAAGCTCTTAATAAAGTTCATTTCTAAAATACAAGTATTTTGAAAAGTAACAAAAAATTAAGTTTTATCATAAAAAGAAAAAAATTAAATAGAATTTTAAATTGAAAAAAAAATATTTATATAATGAAGAAAACAAATAAGAAATTTTAAAACTATTTTACAAATATAACAAAAAAATTAAAAAAATTAAACAAACGAAAATTATAAAAATGAAATAAAGAATATAAATATTATTTAGAATTAAAAAAAATAAATTATCATAAAGATAAAAGAATTAATAAACAGTAAAAAATGAAGGAAAAAAATAAAAACGGACAAAAAAGTGTTTAACAGTCATGGCCCAGTGGTCTCGACGACTGTTAACAGTCGCACACAATCTCGTCCCTTGATTTTTTTAATCTGAAAATCGTCATTTTTGGCGAGAAATGACAATTTTGCTACAAAAAAAACACCTATATAGTCTACACTCAAGCATATACCTAAATAACGAAGAATAAAAAAAATAAATGTTTAATTTAACTTTACCATATATATGAAAAATCTCATAATCCACAATAATTAATCTTACTGAAGATAATGTTGTCAGTGTCTGGATTGTGTAGTGATCGGTGTTGGGTTGATTGTGAGGGTGGCAACTTCAACTTGATCCTGATTGTATGAGTTTTTTCTTTTTTCTTTTTGCTCTCCATTGTTTGCACTTTGCACAAGATGAGGGTGCTTTTGTTCTTTAATTTCACGATTTTAGATCTTATCTTCTATTTTTAATGGTCAAAGACCATAATGAAAACATGGCAATATGGCCAGATCAACCTGCTATTTTCATGTATCTCCTCGAGAAACAATAGATCTCAACCTGATCTAATCTCCCAACATTGGGTAAATTTCATCCGTGGTCTCTAATCTTTCAGCAAAATCTAAATTTGGTCACTAAACTTTTATTTGTTTCAATTAGGTTACTAAACTCAAATTTTAGTTCAACTAGGTCGCTAAACTTTATTTTTATTTTCAAATTTCACCGCTCACTCATTTACTACCATCTCTCAAATTGATATATTGCTTAATTGAAAGAAGTACGACATTAGATCTTCTACATATTTGTTGTGCAACGTCCCATCTTATCACTTTGTCACATCATAAAAGAGTTAATATAAACTTGTCATTCAAAAGATATTATAATAACCTTAATTTTATCATTTTTTCTAAGGCACCAATAATAATTACGTAGAAGATCAAATAAGATAAGATCGTCAACTAAACAAATTTTGTCAATTTGGAGAATCATAGATGATAGAATGTGACTAAGTAATAAAATTAAAATAATTAAATTAAAGTTCAACGATAGATTTGAGGCAAATGAGAACACCTCATCCCAATTCCCACCTCCACAATTTAGTGCTCATTTTGTTTGTACACTAAAATGTTCAGTGCCAGCGCACGATAAGCGCCCACAAAAACTCAACTCTTGAAAAGTCTTCGATAGCACCCCGCTCGTCATCATCACCCCACCCCACAAATACTAACTTGATTAGCTTACATATGAAAATATGTTTGACTTTCAGCTAAAGTGATTTTCTGATTGTGATTTGCATTTATAAGAAAATTCTCTGTTTTTCGTTCAAGTGTTTTCAACTCTCTGACTCTCTTCTTTTTTTCAAGAAAATAAAATCAATGGAGGGTCTGCCCTCTGGTTATCGTCCCAACGTTGGAGTGTGTCTAATCAATGATGATAATATGGTAAACCCTTTATTTTCCCCCTAATTTTACAATCATCTAATTATACATATATAAATTTTTTTTTCTGGGCTTTATGTGGTTACAATAATTTGAGAGCAGAAATTAGATTTATCATTTTTCCCATTAATTCTTTTACCGTTTCACAGCATAAAATATGATTTGATTTTTTTTCTTTTTTCTTTTTTTAAGAAAAAAATCATAATTGTTTCTGGGTTTTTTTGGTAATTGTAATAATTTGACAACCAGGAAATTGACTTATTGTTTAATTTCGCTTGTAAAATTTAAAATTTATTTATGGCTGTTGGGTGGCAATAATATTTAAGGGCAAGAAAATAGATTTCTTGTTTAGTTAATCTCAGAAAGCTTTAAATTTCTTTCGCTGGATTTTGGATGTACTATTTTGAGAGCATGATAACTCATTAGGTGATAATCTTTTGCTTGGATTTATTATTTGGTTTTTAATTTTTTTATTTTTCACTGCACAATTTTATGTAATAAAACTAGGGATTGAGTAGAATTTCATACTGTGGTATTTAATTTTTTATCTGAATTGCATTGCCTCTATGTTATTTTCATTTCGAGCTAAGAAACTGGGATAAATTAGAAAGGTGTATGCGAAGTGACCTTAATTTATTATGATACTTTGGAATAGTGAACTAATAAGTGAATATGTTATCATATCAGTTTTCCATTTTTCAGGGAGTCTACGAACTTTTTGATCTATCAAATTTATGATGATTATATAAAGTATTAAAGCAAGAGAAAATTTAGCTCTTCAGGAAATGATTTTTTTGCTTAAGCATTGCATTCAGCTTGATGCAAAAGTATATAAGCAAATAAAGAGCGTGTTTACATGTGCGCTTTTCAATGTATGTAAACATTTTGTCGGAATGATGCGTGCAATTATATGTAAGTGTTTTCCAGTTGTTTTTAAACTGAAGCGGATGTCACTGAAAGGCGCAAAGTTAGTTCTTTTAGAGTAGGACAGACGGTGAATCCGTCCCATTTAATGCAACCAAAACGTTGCCAATAAAATTCTTTGTAATTATATTATCAAGTTGTTGGAATATGTAGTTGACTTGAAGTACTCATCTCTGATCATGTAATATGATGCTGAAGGCAAAATATTGCATGTATATATTACCGGTATCAAAGGACACTTCTGGAGGGTTTGAGAAGTTTCTTTCAATGTGACTTTGTTTAATCATAAACATTTTGAATGTAGTAAATAATATTGTGATTAAATTCCCAACCCCCATCTGATAAAAGTTAATAGCAAATAAGTATGGATGAAGTGCTTATTTTCTTAAAATGACTGTGTTAATGGGTGGATGCAAGGAAAGACAATAACATTTTGCTATTTGCTTGCAGGTCTTTGTTGCTTCCAGACTGAATGTTCCTGGTGCATGGCAGATGCCCCAGGTGATGCCACCATTATTATTTCCCCTTCAATGCTTTTGATTTGTTTGATATCTAGTATAAAATTCGTCAGTCATTATCTAAGCCATATTACGTCAAATTGTTGAGGTTGAATTGAGAACGAGAAAAGAACTTCTGAGAAAAGCAATCATACAACTTTTACTTGTTTTCACAGAATTAATTAGGGTGGGTAGGCTAATATTTTTGGGGGATGAAAAGGTTTCAAATTTGAGCTCAAGATAAAAAGAAAGTTCAAATGCAAACGTGGCATATCCTACTTCCATCTTCAACCTAATTGAATGTGGAGAAGTATAGGTTGGAAGGGCATCAATGGTCCTAAACAGTACCAAGTGGTGCCTAATATTCATCTATCTTTAACATTTTGCTGTTCAGAACATTATCTTAACTGAACATGGGTTTCATTTGTTTGGAATATATTCAATCTTATGCAGTTGCATTTCAATTTTCTATTTGCAGGGGGGAATTGAAGACGGTGAGGATCCAAGATCTGCAGCAATTAGAGAATTGAGAGAAGAAACTGGAGTAGTGTCTGCTGAAATAATTGCTGAGGTTGTCATATATGATAGTTTACGACATTTTTGTTTTTGCTTTAAGTGTATCTCCAAAATGTTGTAACATGTTAACATAGATCTATTGTGATGTTTTTTCTTTTATTAGAGACCACTTGTAAGGCGGACAGGAGAGTTAGGAATAAGCTTGAGAAAGATAGTTTCTAGTCACTTCCTATTCTCCAAATCGTGAATTTCCACATTTACTCTTTCCATCCATTTTCATTTTTTTTAATGTCAGAAAAATCCATCAAACTGTAAAGCAGATTTTGCTTTTTTCCCAAAAAAAAAATCCGATTATATGTGTTTTTTTACTAAATGCTGATTGTCTTAAAAGAAGGACTTGTGTGTTTATTTTGAAGTTTTGCTGTAAATCATCAGGTACCAAATTGGTTAAGCTATGACTTCCCTCCTGCTGTAAAGGCCAAAGTGAATCGTCTTTGGGGAGGAGAATGGCATGGACAGGCACAAAAATGGTAAATGTCATGCATAGATTTTTTCCCTTTGAGAATTCCTGATGTTTCATATAGTTAAGAACATGTTTAGTTTAACTGCGCCTAATTAATTCCACTAATTCATATTCTTGTCTTTTCCATCTTGTATCTTGATCCTATCGTTTGCCCTGCCTGACTCAAACTTGTATAGTTTCTACTAAAAGCTACTTCATTCTCATTTATTCACTCCATTGAAACCATAACGAGTAGAGGAAAATAGGGTATGATCTGGATAGCTTATCTGTTGCTATCAGTTGTCTCTGGTGACCTAAGAACTTGAAAAAGATTGCTGAAAATTCAGAATCCAGGGCGATTCATTAGTTGGATACTGATAAATATAAATGCTGAGTATAAATTATTCATACTCTCCAACTTATGTTTTGGATGTCTTCTATATATGCTTTGAATGTCACATATCCCATCATCTTATGGATCTTACAAGCTGTAAAGATAGACGAACAACGGTAAACTTTTAGCATGATGAGTGATTGGAGCAATTCATGATAGGTTTCTTATGAGATTGACGAAAGATGAAAGGGAAATCAACCTAGCAAATGGTGACACAGACCCAGAATTCTCAGAATGGAAATGGGCAACCCCCGAAGAAGTTGTTGAGCAGGTATACCGTCATTATTCTTGATTTTGCAAATGAGTTTGCTAAAAATGCTAATCCATGCATGTGGATGAGTTGTCACAGGCAGTGGACTACAAGAGGCCAACGTACGAGGAAGTTATGAGAACCTTTCAACCTTACTTTGTTGGCGCTGGACAAGCTACAAAATGCAATTCTACAAAATGGTGAATATTTCTGTGTTTGCTATGTATAACTGCCACTGGACTCTGTAAATGTAAATGACTGAAGTTTGTACTCGTGAAATTACAAGTAATGTTTCATGTTTTCTTCAGATTCATAGAAAGGAATGGCAGTGCAGGAATCATAAAATTCCATTAAAACTATTTTAGTTTGAGCTACAATACTATTGCAAACATTCCTTGTTCAATGTCTCATCCGCGCAAGAAGTTAGACTAGGTGCTCTTCCAATTTGGAGTGTATTCTCTGGGCAGGGCGAAACCTCATGGAAAAAAAAAAAAAAATCCTTGAAATAAGGCTTTCAGCCTGATCCTTGTACGTATTTATTGTTTCAAACGTGGAAATGCACTAATAGTGGAGGTGTGGTAACACTCTGTATTCTAGCCCACAACAAGCCCTTTGGACAACAACATAGGGCCTGACTTTCGGTATTACCAAACCTCCATATGGGATCATATAATCAGTAATACCAAATTTTCTGATGCAGAATCCTTGAAATAAGGCTTTTAGCCTGATCCTTGTACGTATTTATTGTTTCAAACGTGGAAATGCACTAATAGTGGAGGTGTGGTAACACTCTGTATTCTAGCCCACAACAAGCCCTTTGGACAACAACATAGGGCCTGACTTTTGGTATTACCAAACCTCCATATGGGGTCATATAATCAGTAATACCAAATTTTCTGATGCAGAGGATCCTCAAAGAGGCAACTGTAGAGCATACTTTTGATACTGCTTAGATCTTGCTCTTACTTATTCATTTTAAAATTTTCACAGTTGTCAAGACTATGGAAGAACAAAGAAAGGATTTTAGAAGAACATTGTTAACAGGAACAAACTTTTTATTAAGAAGAGTTGAGCTCGAGATGATCCTCAATGAAAGATAAGAGCTCCTTATATAGAGGAGGAGCCTCATTAAACAACCGACACAAAACTAATAATACTACCAATGACTCATCACTTTTAGTACAATACTTATTACATAGGATATGACTCACAACTTAAAAGGACATGACTTATCACTTTAGTAGCATGACTCACTACTTTTAGTACAATAATTTTACAACCATCTTTTAAAAAGTAGAGAATCTACTTTTTTAAAAGGGATTTTATTGCAAACGACAAAATGATTATTTTACACGAGTTGCTGAGTCATCAAGGTGTTCCAAGATTTGCTTCTCGTCCAGGTTCATTTAAATCATCTGAATCAGAGAGGAGTCCATGTTGCTTCCACCAAGGCCAAGTTGTAGTATCAAATTTTTCTTCAAAAATTTTTTCTGCCAATTTTTCAAGATTGTCTGGGTCTGTTGGATCAAAATCATACGACTGTATTCCATAATCATATGGATCTTGAGAGTCCTGGAAAACACTGTCATTATAATTTATTTCCGTGTCCAAATATCTTGAGTTTTGTTTGTCTGGATTGCTTGATCCTGGTTTGTCCACGTCCATTTTATCAATTTTCATTTTTTCTTGAAATTCATTCCAGAGATTGTTACGCAGTTGTTGTCCTTCTGGTGTGGTTTCTGGATATTTAGATGTTTCTCCAAGGCATTGATGTGGCCTTCCCAAGTAAAGCTGGTTCCAATGGGTTTTGTCACTTTCCCAAGTAGCAAATGGATAGTGTCCAAATACTTGTCCAAAAATTTGGCATTGTCCTTCTCTGTGTTTCTGAATGTCTTGTTGAATCTTGGCTACATAATCTAGAGGTAAAATTTCCCATGGAGCATCATCTTCTATGTCTGGCCAAATTTGTGGAGCAATTGTCTGGTTGATTTCAGCCATTTTTCTTTGAAATTCTCGAAACTCCTTTGGATACCTTTCCCAATCTTGATGGAGATTGAAAGGTTGGACTGCATACTCCTTGACATAAGAGAAGTGTTCATAAGAACCCGTTTCTGTAAAATATCCTTGCCGTTGGAAAATCAGAATTACAAAAACATTGTTTTGGGAAGTTCTCAAATCTTTAAATTTTAAAGAAAATGCTTCAAACATTTTTATCCAATGAGAAATAGAATAAAACCATTCGAAGAATTTCTTTGCCTCAAAATGTGTTTCTTGAAATGGATCATTTTTGTTAAAACTTCAAAGAGTGATTTCTTTGAACCATTCAAGAGATTCACAAACATTAAAAGAAACTCCAATTTGGAAAAGTTCCAATAAGTACCACAGAAAACAAAGTAATTCCTTTGAAAATTTTGAAACTGCTTGGTGTGGGATTATATGGAACAGATTAAAAAATGGATAATCTGGATGAAATCCAAGAACACCAAGAGTTTCAATTCTTGTTTGCCTGATAACAATGGACTGATATTTTAACATGAACTCTTTGGCTCGGGAATGGAGGGTTTTGTCTCTGATGAGAGTATTAAGTTCTGGGGGAATTTGTTCATTTTGAGAAAGCAAATAAAAGGGAAGGTTCATCATACAGATTACAGGGATAGGTTGGGAGTGAAAAGCTTTTGGTCTGGTGAGTAGGTCTGGAAGGAGGTTGGTTTTTCCCTTTATATGTTTGACATCAAAGTTAAAGTTTGAAAACTATTCTGCCCATCTGAGTAGTTGAGAATTTGGAATTTTTTTTTGTTTGAATGAAAGCATTTTAGGGAATGCTGACATGTCCATTTCAATAAGAAATTTGTGTCCAATGAGATGAAACTGAAATTTCTCAATACCACGTTTTACCGCCAAAATTTCTTTGAAAGTGGAATGATAATGTTTTTCTGCTTCTGAGAATGCTCCACTTTTGTATCCACAAATGTTTCTTTTTTCATTTTTCTCCTCCAATAGAACTACTGCCCAATATAAATCACTTGCATCAGTTTGTAAGATCCTTTTCCTATTAGTAGGGATAGATAGAGCTGGAAGTTCTTGCACCTTTTGTTTGATTTTTCGGACAGCTTCTGTTTGTTTTGAAGACCATGGTGGTACATCTTT